TGCCATCTCTGACTATGTGTGTCTGTATGAGCAAGGTTGTTCAGCAACACAAATATCCCACTGATGATGTAGAGTTAAAAAAAAACAACTCATGTATCAAATATGATACACTTGGTGTTAAGGGGCTAATGGTTATTCACCATTACTGGCCAAACTGAAATGACTGGATTCCAGTCACCAACCATTCTGTCAGTGCATTGCTTAAATAAATGATGGTAACCATATTATGTAAAAACGTTACTTGTTAAAGATGGCACGATTCTGCTTTAGACCCTTATCTGAGTAACTTTTTGTCTCCAATATAGATTTATCTTGGAGGCTATTATTGTAAGGATTAGTGGATACTTGTTGAGGATCCAAATGCAGAACCCGAAGAGGCAGAGATGATTTCTTGCTAAATTTAATAAGGAAGTAAAAATATAGAAACCGTAATCCAGAACTGATCATAAGAAACGTAAGAAACAAAAACTAGGAGACACTAATGAGGAACAAACTGAAGGAATGAGGAGAATCCAGCAACCAGTAACTGCAGAGGAGTATAAATGCCAAAGAGAGAAATGAATGGAGTAATCAGCTGATTGGGAGCAGGTCTGGACAGAGGGGTCTAGAAGGGAGCTAGGGGAAAGGAGACAATGAATACAACAGTGCTTCATTATAATGTATAACTCTAAATGGAAAATAAACTGATGACCTAGAAAACAGAATGACATAAATCAAAGTGTAACTTAAAACTCAAAAAGAAAAAAAAATTTTGCATTTTGGGAAAGACACTGTTGGAATAATGCGTTAGTATGAGAAATAAGGACATTAGTTTGAGGACCAGGATGTTCACATTTTGGATAAAGAAAATATGTGGTTTAAGAGAGAAAAAACAACCTTAAACAGAGGGGGTGGACTCAGCTTTGAGTTATTCCCTTCCAGTTATCATCGCAACCCCAGCCCCTGTACAGGAGAGCAGAGGACCTCACCTATTCAGCCAGGCCAACTATTCCCTTTAATGGCCCCCCTTTTAGACACTTAGACAGGTATGGAGTATTGCAGGCTAACAAAAGAAGCCAAACGAAGCCCATCCCAAACTGCTGGACCCCTTTGTCCATTTCAATTTGCATTTTTCCAAAATAAAAACAAGGCTTTGTTGGGTTACTGTGTGACGGTTTTTACAAGGTTAATTATTTTAGTTTTATTTTTTTTTAACAGGGTATTTGTCACTTTTTAGCGGTGCCAGTCAGGTATCCCTCCTGACAAGTAGGATCAATATATATAGATTTTTAAACCAGTCACACAAGGACCATACACTTTTGCGTGTGTAGACCCTTACAAATAAGGAATGAAAACTTTTCACAAAAAGACAACAAATTAGGCTTAACAGTCCTTGTATTTCAAAAAGAAAAATAAATATATAGCCATCAAAAAATAATCACAAAATTCTTCTCCAAAAATAAATGTCCATTATAATCCAACGGATTAGGGCTCCAATATAGATTGCCCCACAGCAAGAGAGGTCTGATGAGAAAATAATCTTGCTCAGAGGCAGGCGCTGGAACAGGTTTTCTGTTGTTGGTTTCAGGAGGACCTTTAACTGTGATGTCACCGGCTTCCGGGTAATTGTGATGACACGTCAGCACGGCAGGAGCACAGAATGAAGTTTCTTTGTTTGTTTGGTTTTCTCCTTTTCCTTAATGATCGGTGGGATCCAGAACAGTGGCAAAATACTGAAAGTACGAGGGATTAAACGGCCTCGGACTGACTTTGTTACTGGTCGATAGAACGGAATATGCAGACGTAGTAGCAGCAGCTGTTTCTGTTACGCTGTCTGCTGAGACACTGACATTTTCAAACTGGAGCTAGGAGTCAGATTGAACAGCGGACCAATCAGGTAAGTGCATGTGTTAAATGGGCGTAAAGAAGGTGTGTCTTGAGCTGTGAAGAAGCAGGAGGGTTTATGAATAACGGTGCAGCCAGCTCTGTGCAACAAGCAGGTTGTCACAACTGTATAAAACCTCAAACTCAACACTATTCCTGACATTTTTTATTGAAAAAGATGGGAAGCGAAACGTCTTCAAACTTGGAAACAAAGTCCAGTGGATGGCTTTTAATTTTCTTTTCTTTTTTTTGGCAAATTTAGAGAGGGCAGAATCATGCGAATTGTTAATGGAGATGTCTTTACAATAGTAGAATCCACAGGACCAGAATGTGGAAAACTATCTCAATTTTAAAAAAAAAATTTTAAAAAGTCACCACAATACAGCTTCTGATTATACAATTATATATGTTCTTTAGGGAAGAGTACTCACAATTGGTCTCTTGTTAGAGTACACAGCAAAAAATTGAAATCTGACATTTTTCGTGAAATAAATATATTTTTGCTTTAGTTAAGTAGGAAAATTTTAATATTTTGAAAGTTGGGGAAAAAATCATTTCATTTACATAGCCTAATTATCTTATTTCAAGGGTAAAATTATTCATTTCATTGGCAGATTATCTTATTAACCTTCTCAAATAAAGGGAAAATGCACTTTTTTAGATTTTTGTTCTTATTTATTGATCAGTGTTTGCAGTGTATAGCACTCCTTCATATTCTCTATTCAGATAAAAAGATTACTCAAATAAAAGGAAAAGTCATTTGATAAAAAGAATACAGTTTGTATTGTGCGTTTCTTAAAAATGAAACCGGTACAGACGGCAGTTTAAGGTACACAGATCAAGTAGCAAATAGATAATTTTTGTTTAAATTTGGAGCTTAATAGGGAGATGATTGACCAGCGGGTGACCTTTTTTTTGTTTCTTATTTTTTTTTACAAATGACCATTTTAAGTGCACAAACCTGCACTAAAAAAGCAATAACCATTCAGTCTATTTGCTGAGTTTTTTCAAGTAGGTATGGGGTCAGCTTCGCGCAGCTGAAGTTCCTCCAGTTTGATGATACGGTCAAAGTTGTAAATAGTGTGCAACTGAAATGCAGAGCAGTAAATTCCTCCTAATGGCAAAATAACAGAATATGGAAATAGAAAAACTAATGAAGTGCTTAAGGCAACACAAAAAAGCCCAGCAAATTCTTAAAGTAAACCTAAGAGATAACTAACAGACGAGGTAAATCAAAAGATTCATAAGAACCCCAAACTATGATAAATACTCTATTACTGAGTAACTAATCTTCTTAATACTCGTTACCACAACAGAATTAATATTATAAAATGTATGCAAAGTTGCAAAAAAGTAAAGCTATATGTTAAATTAGGTGCTTCAAAAATACATGAAATATAGTAGTTACACAATAAGAGAAGAAGCTATTTTAAAATGTTTCTATACATACGTATATACCTTCTGGGCCCACATCTAGGCCTGCTTTGGGTCTGACCAGCTGCCATGAGGCTGTTGTCGTCCCTTTGCCCCTTTACTCTGAGGTGCGTTTGGATATAGCTCTGGTCTCCTCTGTGTCAAACCTGGGCTCTTTGGGGTTGGTCTGGAGCCAATCACACCTCCTATTGAGCATTTCTTCCTGCTGAAGAAGCCTTATAAACCTTATAGGCAAGCACACTCATGGTTATACACCACAGGTGTTCTGCGATTCACAGTTATGCTTAATAGTAAGCTCTAGCTTAAGCAATGCATAGCTTTAAATAACATTATTTGATCTTCATGGTTTTGCTTTCAGTGTTTTTATTCATGTGTTTCCTGCATGTTGACGGGATACACTGCAAAAAATGTAAATCTAAGTAAATCCGTTTTCTTAAAATAGGTGCATTTTTCCTTAAATTGAGTAGGTGAGCGAGACATGTTGACAATTGAATAAGACCATTTACATTTAAAATAAGAAAAAACAATTGCAGTCTCTTTTTTCAAGTGCATATTATCTGATTATCTTAAGGGGTAAAAAATGCTCATTCCGTTAGCAAATTATCTGAATTTCCTACTCAAATTAAGAGGAAAAAACTGTATTTTAAGAAATTTGTACTCATTTTCAGAACGTTTTTTGCAGTGTACTCCATCTTTTGTCATGGTTCATGTGTTTTTTCATGTTTTCCTTCTTTTTTTGTCAAGTTTGAAAGCAGACTTCCAGGAGTTTTTTAACAGATTTTTTTTTCTATATTTTCCTTTTTGTCTTTCCCTTATTCTTTTTTTTCTCTCCCTCTTCAATTTCTCTATCTCTCTATCCCTCTCTCTGTTTCTCTTCCCTTTACCTCATACCCCCTCTCCCCCTTTCACCTCTTTTTAAGTGTCCATGTCCATTTCATGTTGTTGTTTGTTTGTTTTTTAAGGAACTTCTCATAAAGTGCATTTCTGTTTAAAATAACTTTATTTTTTTATTTTTTTGAGTGAATTTACTCACGATCGATAATCTGGAATTTTATTCAAGTTAGAGTAGCGACACTTCATCATATTTTAAGTGAAATTATGAGTGCAATGCAGTAAAATAGTTCTAAACATTTTTTGTTTGTTTTTATCTTAAAAGCCTCTCAACTTAACGTAAATAGTTACTACCGACCTCTACTTACACTGCTAACAATAGACAATGACAGCAGGTATTATTTACCTGCATGATTTTAAATCGGACATCACAGCAGCTGTGATATCTAACATGTATGAGAGGTCCTGTGTATTTTATTATAAAAAAATATACAATTAAAAGAATGTGAGTCAAATATTTGTATAGAAAAAAAAGGGCAAATATATACAGTTAAATTGACAGGTACCAAAATATATATCAGTGTGTTGTGAGGAAAAAAAGAAAATCTACTTTGCAAATATTTAAAGTGAAAAAGCAAAAAAAAATACAAAAAAACTTCAACAGGCTTCCTTACCTAGAAGCCAAGTTACTTTAAGTGGTTCTCTTTAAATTTTAGTGTCCAATTCATGCCAAAGGGTTATACAATACCCAACCTTACTGGAACATTTCTTCCTATCCATAGTTTCACTGGAAAAACAGCAATATTTGTTTTATTTTATTAAATAAAACAACATGTGCTCAGGTGAAGCATCTAACTTGTTTTCTTTTACAGGCGGCATCACCCGTGACACCTTCCAGAAGGAGCTTTGGTGTTATGACCCCGTCGCCGACTCGTGGAGTCGAAGGGCCGACATGATGGAGCTCCGTGGCCTGCACTGCATGTGCACCGTGGGGGACAGGCTCTATGTGATGGGCGGCAATCACTTCAGAGGCAGCAGTGACTACGACGACGTCCTGGGATGCGAATACTACAGCCCGGACACGGACCAGTGGACGGTGGTGGCCCCGATGCCCCGGGGCCAGAGCGATGTTGGCGTGACGGTTTTCAACGGGCAGATCTATGTGGTAGGGGGGTACTCCTGGAACAGCAGATGCATGGTGGACATCGTCCAGCGGTATGACCCAGAGCAGGACGTGTGGGACAGGGTATTCAATGTGCTGGAGCCCCTGGGGGGGATCCGGGCCTGCACAATGACTGTTCATCTGCCGGAGGGGTTGGTGGATGAGGCTGAGATACAAGATTGCCTGTTACCCACGGCTAAGAACTGCTAGCCACACACACGGGGCTTTCCAGCTTACACCTTGCAATTTGTGGGTTGTAACACAGGTTTCATGTGCAAAAAAAGTCAGTTTGACTCAAATCTTTTAACCTGTCATCATTTCCTGTCCTTTTTATAAGCTGTTAGCCATGTAGCATCCTTCATTCTCTGCTGCCTGTGTTATTTCTAAGGTTTGCAATAAAAGATCAAACCAGCCTGGGGTCGTTTCACTAAACACTGAAGAGTTCTGTTTTACAAACAAACCATCAGTCAAACTAATTTATCACCATTAAAATTCTGTCATAGAAAAGGATACTCAATAAAATCACAGCAATAAAACAAAAGCTTAACAAGAATTGCCTTTGTGGAACATGGACTTCTCCTCTACAGTAAGAAACGCTCTAAAGGACTGAACCGAATTTGCGGAATTGAAATAAGGGTGATGCTGCGTGTGTGCTGAAAAAGCCACAGAGAGGCTCGCTTGTGTTTTTATAAGTGAAACTTTTGTAGCTCAGTCATGAGACATCAGCCCCTGCCATTGCTACAAAGACCACATGTCGTTTTCATGTCAGAGAAGTGGAACTCACTATCCTCTATTTAATTAGGCCTCTAAGCAAAATCTGGGCTTTCAAACTGCTGGTTTGGATCTGCTAAATTGTCAGATCCTTTTCTACTAACTGAGAAGATCCACACTTGCTGATTGATGTCAATGTGAGGAAAAGTGAAAAAAGCCCCACAGCAGTTTGCTGTTGAGGGATTTTTTTTGTGTGTTTTGTATCACAGACAACACACATATGCTCTGCATATCACAAGCTAAGCCTTATCTTAAACCAGGCAAAACACACACACATACTCTTGGCTGTCTGACGACAAAAACTACCCTTGAAACTTCATCCTTCACCTCCAGATAAGAGAACAGACAGCTGTGATTATGGCTGCTATGCCAAGGCCTTTTCAGCTGTGATCGAGACATCTACCTTGGAGCACAAAATGCAGACAGTAAAAAAAAGAAAAAAAGAATGACGGAGGCTAATTTGACCGAACAAATAAAGAATAAACTTTATTGGATTTTTGCTCTTATTTTGAAAAGGTAAATAAGATGATCTGCCAATGGAATAATGGCATTTTTCCTTAACACATAACCCTGCAACACTTTCAAATTAAGACTCCTTAAACTAAGATATTATGAACTTGAAATAAGTCTTTTTTTTCCCTCGTTTTAAATGTAAATAATCTTATTTTACTCAAACATTATATTACCTGTCTGCTCAAAACAAGTAAAAATAACTAACTTGTTTTTCTGTTTCTGTAGTCCGGTAGCTCATTTCCTGCAAAAGTGCAAGCAAATTCTTACTATCTCAGATCTAAGTTTAAAAAAAAGTTCCTTTGATCTTGATTGATATCAAGCAAGAATAGATTATGTTAGATTATTTATGTTCTGTTGAAAAATGCTATTCAAAGTAAGTGCAAAAATCTTTCAGTGCAGAATGATAACTGCACTTCCTTAACTCAATGTATATAATCTCAAAGCAAGTGCTGTTATTTTACATTACTGATAGATCATTGCACTTATTTTGAGTAAAATCTTCTCAAAAGAAGATCAATAGATCAAAACAACTTTTAGGCTAGATATAGGACGGTAAAGCCTGGTTAGATGGATACACTTGTTGAAATGGCATATTGTTGCACTCTTATCTTTTATTCATGTGTTTTACAATTTTGTTATCTCTGTTTGCTAGTGAACCTATAGCGCTTGGAGAATAACCTACATGACCTGACCGGAGGTAGAATATTGTGCATAAAAAGTTTGTTTACAAGGAGCCAAGGAACTCCCAGTGGAAGTGTGAAAATAAAGATATAAAAAGTCCATGATCATGTTTGAAAACGTGCAAAAAAAATTGGATGCCAAAAAAAACTAAGACACAAGCATCATTTGAAACAAGATGTGAAAGTTGACACAAGTAAAGCTGCAAAATTGGTAGATGCATAGGTAAGTACTGCCCTCAGATGGCGACGGCGTACAGCAAAGTTTCTGTCTACAGGTCACTCCGTGCAAAACTCTGTCTCAGGCTTAAAAACGGCCGTTTAGATAAACATCATCAGGAAGAAATTCTGGCATATAAATTATTTAAAGAATAACAGGGCCTCCTATGAAAGACAAGGTCACTGTTATACAACATCTAATTTCATTATTTCTTTTAATTTAGCGACTGTTAATTTCTCAATAAACGGATAACTGAAGTTCAACTGAAGAAAATCATATTTAGTCAATTAAGGAATATCTTGTCAGATGATGTGTGGCCTTTTAAAATACCTTTAACCTTTAAATAGCTATTAAAAATGCTTTTCATTAAGCTCACATTTCAGCCTGGTGCAGGCCTTCCCTGGACACTGTACATACGCCCAGTGGGCCAACATCAATTTGCTGGCAAGCCTGTCATAATTTAATCAAAAACGTTTATATGAATTGATATGAAATCATTAAATCAATTTTGCAAATAATAAAATAATCTGCATTTTCTATTATATATTATTTTGGTCGTTACCAGAATTTTTATATTTTCATATAAATACATATATATATATATATATATATATATATATATATATATATATATATATATATATATATATATATATATATATATATATATATATATATATATATATATATATATATATATTTATTTTTTTTTTATCTCCACAATGTAGTGTATCTCCCCATTAAATAAAATTATTCATGGTGGGCTACTGTGGCCAAAAATGCCCAGTGCTATTTGCTGGACTCAGTCCAGCCCTGGTCTGGTGTAATATTAAAAATCACTAATGTTTTGATTTTATTAGCTGTACTGTAAGTGAAAAATCATTATAATTAATAGTTAGAAGGTCATGAAAATGTGTGTGTAATGTGTGTAATTAATCTATATAATGTCTTTCCCTTGGCCAATTAAAGTTATTTTTTAATGTTATTTATATTTATTGCATAGGCTATTATTGTATTATATATCATATTTTATAGCAAAAGAATATCCAGAATTCAGCTTGGATATCATGTAAAACATTTTTACACATGTTTATACAATAATGATTGTTTTATGATCCACATCAACTTTACTTTTCCAGACGACAGTCAGTGACATCCTCAAAAGGACTCATACATTTATTTCTAAGTATATGTGCTATTCCATAAACAGAAAGTTAAGTACAATGACGCAGTGTGGTTAAAAAAAAAATAAAAAATAAAAAAAAAAAAAGGTCGTCCAAGCATTAGGGAAGACCACATCCTGGAGAAAACAGATTAAAACTAGGGCTAAATTCTGGGCTTTACTGTCGTTCACTGCAAATATTGTAATCTCTGTATGTCAACTTTTCTTTAAGTGAGGATATTTTCCAACGATTTCAGGATGTAAATAAAAAAAATAGCAAATGAAATATGGGATCTATGCTAAAAAAAACAACAACAACTTCTTTATCTTATTTCAAGTTCATAATATCTAATTATCTTGTCTTAGGCAAAATAAATTTCCTACAAATTCTTTACAAATTTTTACTTATTTTTAGATCAGTTTTTGCAGCGTTGCCACCACTCAGATGTATCACTGCTTTTAAGTAAACATTTCTGTGATATTTAATCTTGAGGTAGAGGATTAAGGCTTGTAAGAATTAACTTAACACCACTTTGCTTTCTCTAAACAGTTCGAAACAATACCATCATGTGCTGAAATCTAACACCAAAAAAAGCAAATTTTTAATTATTTGATTTGTTTACAACACAGAAAATCTTGAGACGGTTTGTCTTACAAAGTTCCAGCACTTGGACACAAGACATTAAATGTATGATTACTAACTGACTTGTCCCAAATTAAAATCCCTGCCTCCATCAGTGGTAAGAGTGGCTACAAGGTAAAAAAAAAAAAATACACTGATGGTTTCCACAACTCACTCGTTTGACCCCCACTTTATAGTTTACAGAGCAAACCAGGGGGCCAGCTACGATTAAACATTTGGCAGAATAAAAAACACATCTGGTCGTATGTCAGACAAAAGTTCCCTTGAAATGTCTGTGTCTCGTTTTATTAGGTTGATGTAGCCTTGTACTCTTTCACATCACTAAATTAGTTCCCCCTAATGTAAAGATTTTATCATCTTGTGTTTCCTCACTAAGGTTTCTAGATTAGTCCTTATTTGTGAAAAAAAGCTATCTTTATAAAACATTCTAAGATACACACACAAACAAGGAGTATGAAAGGCAACTTTATTAATAAAACCCTAATTTTTTCTTTTACAAATCCTTCTCCATTTGACAAGTAAGAAACAGTGCAGCTGTTAAAAAAAAAAGACTTCATCAAATAAAGTTTGAAATAAACTACTTTAGATAATAACAGGTTTTCTAGTAGGTAAAGTTTCATCAGAGATCACAAAAATCCTTTTAAAGTCGTAGGGAAATCATTTTTAAAAGTCAAATCATTGTGGCTTAAACATGTATAAAATTAAAATGTATGACGAAGGAGACTCATCCATGACCTCCGACACAAAACTCTCCTCCTCTTGCATGTTTCCGCTGTCCATAGCGTTCCTTGACAGTGTAGTTTCTAAGTCACCAATTTAGTGCTACTTGGTCCCAATGGAATTTCCCATTGGGAACCTACTGGCACTAAGTTCTTAACTGGTTAGCAAGATGCTTCCGACAAACTGGCCACAATCAAACTTGCTTGTGAACCTTCCGCCATAACAATCCCGCCCCCTTGATAAAAGCTGAATCGCATTCACTTTATTCATGCATGTAAAGTCGTGCACCACTCGGGAAAATTCGGAAATGCAACCATTTGAAGAGCCGTTTCCTTACAACTTTAACAGATATCAGTGTAACTACAGTAAATATATACAGATGACACACTGTTGTGACTGTGAACAATTTCCAGCTAAAAGAACCCACACAAAAATTTGCCAAAGTTTTCTTTGGCTATATCAAAGCAAAAGTTGAGAAAAGCTTTTTAAACAAACGGGAAGTGTTCAAAAGTTAGCTTACAGCATGAATTAATACAGCTAGAAACAACCAAAAAGGCGCTACACCTGGGTGAAGAGATGGACTCAGATCTGAATCTCTAGAGGCTCATAAAAACGATAACAAATGTGGCCACCTATCGCTTGGAGAACATTTCCAGGATTAAAGGTCTAATGTCTGCCTAAGAAGTAGATCAGACAGCTACAGCTGATCCAGAATGCTGCT